TGTACGTACACCTCAAAGGCCTCAGGTGTACAGACACCTCAGGAAGACGGAGGTGTACAGACACCCGAAAGGCCAGCAACTGGAGAGACACCTCAAAGACCGCGGGTGTACAGACACCTCGGGAAAACGGAGGTGTATAGACACCTCAGAGGGCAGCAGCTGGAGAGACACCTGAGGGAGAAGGAGATGGAGAGATACCCGAAGAAGGCCTGAGATGGACAGACAGCTGAGGGGAGAGCTGGGGTGTACAGACACCTCGGCTCTCTCTTGAGGTGTATGTACACTTCAGGGGCCATTTGAGGTGTACGTACACCCCAAGGGGGGCCCTGCGGCTTGCCGGCCAGCGCAGCTTCGGGTGTACGTACACCTCAGCCCTTAGCCCTGAACTTCCGTGTGTACGTACACCTCAGACTCTCCCGCGCGAACTGTACATACACCTCGAGTGCATGCGTACCTGCAATCTGCAATCAACTCATTTTAAAAGCCTCCGCCTCCAGGAGAGGGGGAGGGGGGCCCTAGCAGCTTTTAGGGGTCCCCCCAGGGGGGCCCCAATGGGGGGCCCCAAAGGGGGGCCCCCAGGGGGCCCAGGTGGGCTCCAAAGGGGGGCCCCAAGGGGGCCCCATCGGGGTTTCCCCGGAGGAACTGCAAAAGTGTACTTGTGGTTTGTAGAGGCTCTTGTTTTTAATTCCCAGCAGCAGTCAGCACAAGAGCCGTTGTGTTTCGGGTGTATGTACACCTCAGAAAGCTGCCGCGCAGAACAGATGCAGCAAGTGCGCCGCCGAAAGCGGCCTTTTGTGGGACTAGGGTTTAGGGTTTAGGGTTTAGGGTTTGCAGCGCGTCTGCGGACTGCCTGCGCGGCTTCGTTGGATTTCTCTTTTTGTTGTTTTCGTCAATTCTCTTTTCAGTTTTCTCAAAAGTGTTTTAAATGCAAACTCAGCAGCAGCGGCGCGGTCTACATACACTGCATTGATTCAAACCTGACCGGCAGCTGTACAGACACTGCATTGATTTTAACAAAAGACTAAATTCACTTAATTGCAAAGTATTTATTAATCTTATTAATTGTAAAAAACACGGGGAGGCTCTGACTCTTTCAATTTAAATCCAATCTAAAAAGTTTTTTTGAAACAAATTATCTTTAATTGCAAAATTATGAAAGTCAAATAGAATTCAATTTCTCATTTTTTGAAATTTAGCTTTTCAGATTTTTCTGCAGCAGCAGAAAAGCAAAAGTGCTGCTGCTTCTCTCCAGGGCCTTTCAGGTGTACGTACACCTCAGTTGCCTCTCGGCAGCAGCCAGTCCCTCAGGCCCTCCGGAGCTGATACCTGCAACTGCAGCAGCAGCAGCAGCAGCAGCAGCAGAGCCGGCAGCAGGTGCAGCAGCAGTAGCGCCCCCAGCAGCGACGACAGCAGCAAAGGCGCTGAGCTGGCAAGAGTAGCAGCATTGAAAGCTCTGCTGCAGCAGCTGATGCTGTTGTTGCTGCTGCTGCTGTAGCTGCTGTAGCTGCTGCTGCTGCTGTTATATTTGCTGCTGCTGCTGCTGCTGCTTCAGTGTACAGACACCCACCTGTATAAGCGACTCTGCAACGAGCTGCCGTTGCTTCTTCGAGTAGAGGCCTTTGCTGCGTTCTGCATGCGCTGCCAAGTCTGCTGCTGCTGCTGCTGCTGCTGTTATTGTTATATTTGCTGCTGCTGCTGCTGCTGGGGCAGCGCTATCAGCTGCTGGGGCAGCAGCTGATAGCGCCAGAGCCCTCAGCAGGCGAGTCACGTCTTGAGGAGAGACTGGATGCCCTTGCTTTTGCTGCAGGCAAACCCTAAACCACAAACCCTAAACCCTAAACCCTAAACCCTAAAGCTTTATGCCCCGAAAACAACAGAGAAGACACATAACACGGAGAGGCAAAAGAATGTAAGTGAAGACACAAAAGAGAGTCAAATATGAATTAAAAAAGTAAAAGGAGACAAATAAAAGCAAAAAGATAACGTTAAAACAAATCTAAAAAAAGTGAGAACAGGAAACAACAAACATACTGCTTTGCTGAAGAGCTGCAGCGCGAGCTCCAGCAACGGAGATAATGCGGGTTTAGCTGCTGCTGCTGCTGCAGCAGCAGGTGCTGCTGAAACAGCAGGTGCTGCAGCAGCAGCAGCAGGCGCAAGGGCAGCAGCTGGTGCAGAGTGAGCAGCAGAAGTAGATGCAACTGCAGCAGTTGGTGCAGAGTGAGCAGCAGAAGCAGATGCAACTGCAGCAGCTGGTGCAGCAGCAGCAGCAGCAGCAGCAAAGGCAGCATTTGCAGCGTCGCGCAGCTCTGCACTGGCCCAGCGCTTTCCTGCTGCTGCCTGCGCAGCAAAAGAGACAAAAGAAGGCAAAATGTGGTATATTTAGAGACAAATAGAAAAAAATAAATCAGATAAATTTAAAATATTAATTAGTTCAAGAGAAGGGGAAAAAAACAAGTGCCGAACTGCTGCTAGCCGAAGAAGAGGCGTCTCTGCAACAGCAGCAGTAAGTGCAGCAGCAGCAGAAGCAGCAGCAGGTACAGCAGCAACAGAAAAGCAGCAGCAGCAAGTGCAGCAGAAACAGCAGCAACTGCAGCAGCAGCAATTGCAGCAGCACGCGGAGCAGCAACAGATCAGCAGCGGCAGCAAGTACAGCAAGAGCACCAGCACTCGTAGGTGTGCTGTGTGATCTCTCTGTGTGATCGCTCTTTGTCCTCATCATAAGGGTTTAGGGTTTAGGGTTTAGGGCTTAGCATCACATCATTGAGGCGTCTGAAATACTCTTCTATCCAGCCGGCTGGCTGCAATTGCTGCAGCAACACCTGCTGCCGCTGCTGTTCCTGCTGCTGTTGTTGTTGTTGTTGCTGTTGCTGCTGTTGCTGCTGCTGCTGGTCTGGCTGTTTTTGCTGCTGCTGCTGTTGCTGCTGCTGCTGCTGCTGTTGCTGCTGCTGTGGTTGCTGCTGCTGTTGCTGCAGCCGGTGCAGGCAGAGGGCAACATTTGCTGCGTCCCTCGGAGTGAAGTTTGCTGCGCTGCAGCAAAATACACAATGCTGCTGCTGCTGCTGCTTTCCGTGCACCAAGCAGGCGCAGTATTCTAGTTTACATGTTTCTGAATAAAATAAATGCAAATTGATCTTTTCTCGCAAACATTTAGAGTGTATGTACACTGCAGATTAAGCACTTTGTGCGAAAAGTTGCGGAGGCGAGTAGAAGAGAAAAAAATTGTGGACTGTACATACACTGCAGCTTGCATGCGTTTTTTGAGTCGTTTATTTTTCCAGACTCACGAGAAAAGATGAAATAAATACTTTTGGCGATAAAATAGCTTACGTTGGCAACTTGTAAGCATATTTAGAGCCTCAAAGTTCAAAGAAATGGGTTTTAATCATTTCAAATTTCGAAGTGCCGCTCATGCAGTGTATGTCCACCAGGTGTACGTACACCGCAGCCTTTGCTGAAGGCCGTCTGGGACTCCCCGGAAGGGGCCATTTCTCCATTGTTTTTCATCCTTTTGATTATTTAATGTTTATTTTTATTTATGTTCATTAATTTGTATCTATTTTCTCACTTTGATGCCAAAAGAGGAAAAAGAAACGCCCAAAAGGCAGACACTGTTGCCCCGGGGTCTACTGAGTGACCCGCCTGCAGACAAGAAATAACATCTTATTCATTATTATTATTATTGTTGTTGTTATTGCCAAAATAATAATAATAATTTTACTATTATTACTACCATTATGTAGTAATAATAGCAAAACTATTGCTATTATTACTATCATTATTATTATTATTATTTACTATTATTATTTTCACTTATTATTATTATTATTACTACTTGTATTTAATCGTTAGTGTTATTGCCGGCATTTGCCTCACACAAGTAGTTTAAGCAGCAGCAGCAGCAGCAGCAGCAGGTCCTGTGTGTCTTACAGCCACGAGGTTCGCTAGCTGCTTCGGATCCCTTATGGTCCCCTGCTGCAGCAGCTGCCCCAAGTGC